GCTTTCCAGCCACTCACCCCCGAGCCTGTGCAAAAACTTAGTGAAACCTGGCTTCTTCAAAAGGAAGACACAGACAGCACGCATAACTTAAAATGCACGCAAAGACTCTAATAAAGAAAGAATTAGAGGACTGGTCTGTAGTACATACCCTCTTTTCATGATTTGGAATGATGCAGCGAACAAAATTGGGGTTAGTGTTTCGGAGCGTTGCCATCAGCTTGGTGAGAGATTCTTTGTACAGTTGGCCAACGGTACGAAACATGCCCTTCTTGGTCTTGTACGCAGAGCCGAAAGCTGTCTCTGTGATTCCAGTGACCTGATCCAGACCCACAATGCGATCCACTGGGAAGGACAAGAGAAAATAATTAAGCAGACTTTAATATTAGTCAGGTCTAAAGATAGGCAGGGAGAGGAGCAATAGTGCAGCAGCAGAAGCTTTGCGGAACAAATGGCAGGAGGTGCCGTCAGTAGGCAAGGCGCTCAGCATGTACTAGGGACGCTGTGCAGAAGCAGTGGGACCAAAAGCCACAAACTCATACAGCAGAAGAGTGTAGCTTTAGGAGGTACAGACGAAAATATCCAGCTCTTTACTTGCAGTTCTACATGACCAGTAAAGCCATTTTCTTTATTTTAACTCAACTTTTAAGAGAGAAAAAGTAGCCTGGAAACTGGCAACTCTTTGAATTCTTACAACGCAAAATATTTCTGGGTTGAATAGTTGGAATGAGGCACCTGTGCATCTTTGCTTAAAATGAAGAGTCACTTATGGTAATCATATAGACTAAATGTGAGTTTTGCTGAATGTTCAAAAGTGTTTTGAAGGCATAACTATTTACAGAAGACTTGGAAATAGTTTTATTTCAGTGACAAGAGGGGAGGGGGAAAAAAAGTATCTGCCAGACTGCTGCTAGTCTGCTATTTTGAATAATTCTTCCAAGTTTTATACACAACTGCAAAGACCTCCCTAGCCAAAAGAGAAGTTTCAAAACAGGTAAACTGCACAAAGCACTTCACAGCTGCCATAAAGCATCAGAATAGAGATTTTTTTTCTTTGATTTTCTGAACATTTTGGATAAGGATCTCTACGGTTTCTTCTTCAGAAGCACAAATTAGAAATCCCACTGCCATCGTTAAAACCTTTAAGCTAAAAACATGAACATGATTCCATGCACACGTCAACAATTAATTCACTAAAAAAAATTACACAGGTGGCTTAACACCTTAATAATTATAGTTGGCACTTCTTAGTACTGAGCAAAGATACAACACATGTTGGTTCTCCATGAAATCCAAGCTGGCCAGCCAGCAACTATATGTAGGCTACAATTTACATTTAGTGAAGTTGTCTTCATTCAAACCAAAGCAGAGGGAATGATTTTTTGCTACCAGAGTTAGCTTTGTATATGAGAAATAAGTGACAATATTTTATTTCATACTTGTAACTCAATTGGTTTTCAAATGTCTATAAAAAAAAGGAAAATTGAAAGCAGAAAAATACAGTGCAAGAAGCTTGGATAATCACTCGTAACTCTTGCACGTAGTAGAGAGCAGAGCCCAGATCCTCCACACAGTTTTGAACACAAGAGTCTAAGCAGCTTATTAAAGTTAGGAGAATAAGTAGGTGGTAAGTTGTTCATAAGGACGTATCCCAAATATTTCCTTTGAAGCAGAATTCAATTCTAAACCAGAAATGGGATAGAGATTACTGGGAATCAGCCTTGCAGAAGATGAACATCACAGCTCGTAAATATTAGAAACATGAACCCACCAGACACCACTAACAAGGGGACACCATTCAGCTTTCTTCTGGCCACGTACTTTTAAAAATTTTATAAATATACCTGTTAATTGTGCATCTTCTGTTCCTCTCTCCTCTCCAACTATAATATGGTTACTTGTATTTCAATGAGGATTACTGAAGTTAAATGTAAGCCTTCCCTATAGGTTAAGAGCAGTCATTGAACAGATCCATTGGCTAAAGCCTCCGAACTCGAGCCCTCTAAGTCATTACTCTAGGGATCACCACTAGCTTCCTCAAGCATGGGATGTATCATGAGGAGTGGAAGATACACCCACCCAGAGATCACAAGTCTGAAGGCACAACCTTCATATACACCTACTTCTAAACTTGGGAAGAGGCTGGATAAAATATCTAAAGCATCTTCAAAAAGACATTCTAAACAAGTGAATTTGTTCATTTCTTGATACCTCAAAAGATGTGTGCAGCTTCTACAAAGGCAAATAATAAAATTAAGAAGTTCTTAAATAAAAGAACAATTCCAATAAGTCTGGAAGAAGTTTATTTCACTTACTACTCCCACTACAACTGCAGCACTCATTCTGATCCTTCAGTACATTCTTCAGCTCTCCCCCCAAAAAATACATCCACATTCTAAAACGTTACAGAGTTTCGTCAATGTTGGACTGCAGAAAGAAGCTTGATAGTGTTAAAGCTTACGCATTCTCTCAAATGCTTGGAGCTACCAGAATTATCACTTCAGAAGCAATTCTGCATCTCAACATGGAACTAGGAAGCAACAAACCTTTTTCTCTGCAATGCTTAAATGCAATGCATAAAATATCGATGCTATATGTATGCAGCAGCAACTCAATAGGTATGCACTCAGAGACCATTTGCCTTGTGGAGGTATACCTAAGGTTAGCATGAAATGAGAAGTTCATGCAAGCCTACGAGCAAAAATGGTTTTCCTGGAGATACAACAGCCCTGCCTTTAGTAGGCCTACTGTTTTTATATCCATTCACCTGGTGGATCATGAAGACCAGTAATATTGTCATAGAAACAGGCTCTCTGAATATTCTGAATCTCTAAGGCAGAGAAACAGCAAAAACAGAAAGACAGAAGAGCAGATACAGAAGACACTTCAGTTAGTATACAGAACAGGTTCATCAATTGCAAACAGACTTAACTGTGCTACAAAAGCAATGAGGCCACAACATTCCATGCACATTTCAATTATCTGTGGAAGCAGGCTTTGCATATGTCAACCAAAACACTTCTGCTTCTGTGCGTGTACTCAAAAGGAAAGGAGCAGATCCCCAACCAAAAAATTCCTTATGTATTAATTAAAACTGCTCTCTGTAGCTGAACCAAGTAAGTATTCCTGAGAATAAGAGGGAAACTCAGCATTAACCTACAGCATCATCTATAGCATGTGATTAATTTTCTCCTGGAATAAGAAACTAAAAGATTTATATACTGTGGCATATACTCTTAATATGCTGTGGTGTTAAAAACTAGAATAGAAAGCCTTTGTAAGTATTTATTTGACTATTTCTACTTCTTGAGGTATTTTGATAAATACTTCAAGCTGATGTGCAGGTAGACTGGCTAAACAGCAGTGTACCGTTAAAATAGGAAAATATTGCATTTTATTTTAATATGCAATAGTCTAAGCACTAGTATGGCTGTTAATTAATTTTATTTCAGGCGGTTCAGATTCCCAGGGTATGACCCCCCGCACTGCACAAGAAACATCTGTGCTGGTGCTCACATAAGACAGCATTTTATTGTGCTGGCGCTCACATAAGACAGCACTTTATTAACAGCTAGTACCACTACAGCTGTTTACATTCAGGACTTAACTGCAGCAATTCAAACTAAGAGTTTTGGCCAAGATTCTACAGATGGAATTTGACAGGGGGTAAAAAGTAGCAAGTGAATATCAATTCAAATAATGAACATGAGAAGCAGCTACTCAGAAATGGCACATGTGCAAGGGACCATAGGTGCAACCCAGCCTCCTTCTTGTACTTTTGGTGCTGAACAATAGAGAAAATGCTGCAGATATTTACAGTGTAGAAGTGGAGGGTGAGGAGGGAACAGGCACAAAAAACCCCGCTCATCTAGCAAAGTCAAACTGCCACTAACTTAGGGACTCAGACCATGACCTCTTACCATCTTTCCAAAGCTCTGCAACAAATTTGTCAGAAGACTGGTGCAAGAGGGTAGCCACATTGTCATTCAGGGGGTCCATGTTCTTCATCAACCACTCATCTGCCTTGTAGTCTACCTGTAGAGTAGCCAAGTTGCCCATGATCAGATAGACTACCAGCTATAGTTTGACATTTACCAGCACCAAAAAAAACCAAACCCAAAACTTTCTAAAATACTCTACTAATGTTTTCCTCCTCTTCTTGATGTTTTGGATGCTATGAGTTTCTTGTGGCTCCTTAGAACAGTTCAAAGTACCACAAAAAGTTGTTATTCTTTTGAAAAAGTAAATGGGAGTTTTCTTAAAACTTTAGCAATCTGACTTTTTGCTTACTAATAGCTGGTATTCATTTTCAGCCTACTGTTATTGCCAAAATAGGGCTTCACTGTTCATTGTGAAGATGTAAAACCAGCTCCAGAATAGATCCTTATTACTTTATCTAAATTACTGGAGAGTAAATGAAGGATGTGCTGCAACATGATTTTTCTTTTTAATTTCACTGTAGCAGTTATACTTAAACACTTTGTTCTATGAAGAAAACAAAAAAAGCTGTTACCTTGGAAGAACCAATTCTGTGGTTTGCAATTAAACTATAGCTCAACAGTTGAAAACTCAATGCTGCCAGCATGGTTTCATTCCAACCCAAAACGAGCCCTAAAATTCCCCACGTCCAACAAGACCTCTATGCAGACTAGCATGTTTTTGCTTCAAACAAACTGAATTTTCTATTTTTAAACAAAGGCTTTGGAAGGAAAGCCCCATTTAAATGCTTCCAGCATCCAAAACCAGATCAGATCATCATCTTAGTACTTCTTGCAGTAAATGCTATTTTACAAACAATTCTACTTTTGAAGGAAATGCACATTCCGACAGAAAATTGAGAAATGCCTTCTGTCAGAGGAAGCTATGCAACGCAGGATCCCAGAAGTGCCCACTCAGGTTGGCAGAAGTAAAGCACTCTTTGGAACAATTGCTTCCAGTAGACAGGCACCAAGCTGGTTTACTTCATTTCGATTTCCTTTTGTTTCACAACTAATCTACTATTAACTGCAGCAACAGCGATGATTTCATTATTTCTAAGTCACTGTTTTCAATATTGATACAATAAAAGGTATAATTTCTTGATTTCCATTTTTATTTTGATTTTTTGCTTCCATTATCTACTTGGCATCATTGACATCAAAGAACAGATAACAACAAGCCATTAGTACTTAAAATTAAAGGATGGCTCTTAATCATTCTCATAGTTTATTCTAAATATCCGGGCAAAAACTGGTGTTATGGTTAAGTTTTAACTATTTATGAAACTAATAACATAGCATGGCTCTATGGAATAGACGTGGTGATCGTGGTGCTTCCACAAAATGCTCGCAAGAACTGCAAGTTATTTCATCGACCTGTTCACATTGCAGCTGAGCTCCATCCCTCAACAGAAGAATTAAGATTGAACTAACAGTAAAAATGAAAAGGTATCAGCTTACCTCTGAAAGGGATATACAGAAAATCTGAAGTGAACTGAGGAGATACAAGTGAAGAGGGTACTGACACAGCCCTACTTCAAGCACCACTATTAACTTGGAAACATAGATATTCAGGAGAGACTCCTGACAACAAATCAAAGGAAATTGAAATATTTGCTTAATTTAATATTGATTTATATTTTTCAGTTCTGTCTATTTGGTAGCAAGAGTTCCATCAGAGCACTCCTGACTAATTTCAAGAAAATTAAACAAGGCCCCCCTCCTGCATGAATATTTCTAAATTTGGTAGCTGGACCATGTAAGTGCTTTCCCAAAACCAACATTTCTAATCAAGAATTTAACATTTAACCCTTACCTTCCCTGCATAGTGAATAATACAGAAATCTGCTTTGTCCTTTAGCTGTCTTGGTTTTTGGAACTTGGAGTGGGTTCCTTGCTCTTGGACCAATTTTTCCACAAACGTCTTGTCAGTAGCTTTAGGGAACCAGCATTCTTCATCCAGTAACGCTAACACACCGGGAGGATTCGCCTGAAATCCCAATGGATTTAATTTGGGTTAATATTGTATACATATTGATTTTTTTAACTTTAATATTGAAAACACACCACTGAATGCTATAAGAAGAAGTTGTCTAAACTGATTCAAATTTGATTTAAATTCAAACAGGCTGTGAGGGGGAGTCCAGTTCAATGAATGACATTATGACTGGTTCAAACAAATCCATCCCGACACATATTGGAGCCAGACATGAGTGACCTGATCTAGTGCTGACTGGAGCCTTGCTTTGAGCAGAGACTGGAATAGATGACCTCCAGAGTTACCTTCCAAACATTCCTTCGACGTGTACGTACACAGCAGCTCGTCCGCATCCCCACAGTAGTTAATGTCATGCTTTAATGTGGGCTAAACTGAAGACAATTATTATCCCTCCCAGCCACTCGATACTGCTGCGGCAGCCAGCGAGCGTCCCCGTGCCAAGCCCTGTGCTGATCTCCAGTAGCAGCACCCACAGGGACTCAGCAGGCGTGACCTGAGCAGCCAGCATTGTTTTATATACTCCCTCTCTTTCCCATACAATTTAAACACTCCATTGGTAGGTTTGTTTATTCTTAAAGTGAAGTAGGGAACAAGCATCGCATTTTGCAGTGGTAGAATTGTTTGGCAGGATCATTTTCCTCAGGGAAGCCAATTTATACTTCAAAAGTTTCTACTGAATGTAAAGTTTACACATTTGAAGGGAGATGTTTCTATGTGCCTACTACACAGCATCCCACTTACAGAACAATTAAGAAGGTACTGACATTTGCTTTTCAAAAAAAAAAAAAAACTAAACATCTGCATATTGAAAGCATCTACACTTACTCCCTGAGGCCTTTTGGCACGGTTTTAATATTCCAAGGAGGCAGAAATTTCTGAAGTTCCACACAGAAAGTGCAAACCTTTGCTAACTGAACCAAGATTTCCCTTTTCCTTCTCTAAAGAAAAACTACAACGTGGCTGATGGGTTTTTTTGCTCCTCGGGAGGCAAAGCATCAGTGGCGGCTTATGTCTATCGAGAATAGCTCCCCTGAAACGTAGAGACCAGTAACTGCAATGCCCTAGGTTTAATTTAAAAGGTCATAAGATATTTTGGCAGCATAGTTCTGCAGTGTGAGGAATGATAACTTCCAGAAATGATGATTTTGTTCTCCTCCTTCCCCCCCAACCCAACTGCTCCTCCTGCTCTTCAAAGCCCTCGTCAGCTTGGAGGCTGCTTGAGCAACCAGAATGTTTAAACGCAGAGTGATTAAACCCACCTTTAAGATACTGCTTTCCTACTCGCAAGGCAGATTTATGGGGAAAACTCTACCCTAAACGAAGTTACAGAAATGTTGCTATTGATCTCAAATGAAAAAGTTTACCGTAAGTCTTGAAAAGCTTTCTGACTGAGCCACCACTCGAAAGCTCCTCTAACGCAGTGGCACTAATACGGAAAGTGACAGGACTAAAGACTGCAATAGTACTGGAGAAAAAAAGTATAAAAATAGTAGCTTAATATCTTTAGCTCAGTGTTCTACCCTACCATCAGGGCAAAATCCCATAAGGAGAAATCCTTTTACTAATACATGGACTTTGGATCCCAGCCTTCAAGTTAATTCACTTTTTGTGACAGCTCTGCAAGAAATCCCTGTGCAGTCCTACAATTTGCAGGCAGTAAAAGACAAACCTGTAAATGGGATCTCTTCTCCTTAGAGTATTATTAATGCACAAACTTACAGGTCTCTCAATTAAGTCAATGCAAGGCTGCAGATCCAGTCCAAAGTCAATGAAATTCCACTCTATACCCTCTCGCTGGTACTCCTCTTGCTCCAGGATAAACATCGTGTGGTTAAATAACTGTTGAAGCTTCTCATTGGTGTAGTTAATGCAGAGTTGCTCAAAGGAGTTCAACTACAAAAATAACATTAGTAAGCAAGAATAATTCAGCGACAAAATTTACTATGTATCTGGAGTCAAAAATTTGACAAGGAAATTCCCGAAAACTTCGCAATATTCAAATACATTGTAAAGAAAATTGGAAAATGCATTATTCCAATCTCTTATGTTCCTTGTTACGCATAATTAAATAATATACAATAGGAAAAACCATCACATACAAAAGGACGATGTAGACTAAAGTATGACTTTTTGGCACTGTTATTTAGGGTTGTCAAAGCATTCGTACACTACAAAACTAAAGCCTCCTGCAGCCTTGGAACATGCACGCGTGAAGTGGCTCTACACTTAGTCCTCAACGCACATTAACAGGGAAAAGAAAAATCTGACCAGCAGTGTTTTGAAGTACCTCAAAGATTTCAAATCCAGCAATATCCAGAATTCCAATAAAAGACGCTCCCTGTCGTTTGGTCCTGTCCAAAGCTTTATTAATGCGGTGAACAAGCCAGCGGAAGAGGCGTTCATAGGTGGCCTTTGCCAAAGCTTCCACTGCAAAGTCTGCCTGAAAATCCAGACAGGAAAATTTATTTATCCTGGAGAAGTCATCAAAAGAACACAGACATGGATGTTATCACAAATAACAGAGTAACAGGAGTTTAATGGAGTTAATACCACTGAGGAATGAAAACAAGCAGTAGGCAGTTTGATTAATATTATGAAAAATTTGTTTTTAAACTGTTCTATTAAAAAAAAAACAACATCTCGGTGCATTGAATACATACAACAACGACAGTAAAGGATGAAACCAGCAGAAGGTCAAGGAAAGGGAAAGGTTTCTTCTATTCTCCCACTGATTTTGACCATATAAGATTATTTAATCAAGACAGTAAACTTAAAGTCAGTGGCAGCAAACACTTAATTCCAATTTTCTTTATTAAGAGCTAATCAGGATGAGGTACAGTTTCACTCCATCTTTAAAGCACCAAAACTTACTTGTTCTTTGGTCTGGGCTTTCTGAACATAGTCTCTGCCAACTTTGATGCGCGGCGTCAGGATGGCGCGGGTGAACTCCATCACGTTCATTCCCAGTAGATGGCAGAGTTTCTGTGCGACTGGAGAGCAGAGCAAGAAATGGAAGCGCTTAAATCCTCTAGCTAGCAACATCCGTGAAACAAGCTACTGACAAAGGCCATCACGTGCCAGTTTAAAAACCAAACTGCCACTCGCAATAGCAGGAGGGGAGATGCACTTCTGTCCTGCGGACACACCGACCCCACGGCCCGTGGCCGCAGGGCTGCCAGAAGTAACCCCCCTGAATTTTCTTAGGGGGGTGCAGGGAAAAAAAAAAAAAAAAATCTCATGAAATTGCAGGGAAGTCATGTAACAGTCCATAGCCCACCTGCAAGCGTTCATTTTGTTACTTTTAATAGAGAACATTAATTTTCTCATATCCAGAAAAAAAAGCAGCACATTATGAGGACATCACAGCAACCCCATTATACTAAAGGCTGCTTTAAAACTTTCAATGTAGGCAGGTATGCCAGTGCAATGCTTCCATCACAGATTATATCAAAATATATCGTTTAAACTATTTAAAACATGGGTTTGTAATATTTCATATAGAACAACGCAAGCAGCAGCACACTTTGGTTGGACAGCATGAGCTCTCACGGCGTCATGTGCATTATATCAAACAGCACATTACCCACACCACCATTACGTGCTCTTGCTGCACCAATCCTTTTTTCTAAATAAATTTTCCAGTAGGTTAGGTGTTTATGATTCCATACTTCTAAAAATGAAGATGACACTGAAGGTATTTTTAGGTCCGGGTAAGCGTTGCCCTTTAGGCAGAAGCTTTCCACACTACCCAGTAAGTGCTGTAACCCCTTATCTTTGTCATCTGACAGCTTGTTGTTTCACTGGCAAAATGAAAAAAGCTATTTTTACAAATCAGCATTGGAAAATAGTTTTTAATACAAATATATAAGAGCGTCCTCTTTTTTTTTTGATTGGGTGGATTTTTTTTTCCCCTGGTATTAAAAACACTACAATGTGGTCTTAATGCTGAGATTCTCTGTCTGGCCATATATTCATTAGAAGGGCTCACGAATCAACAAGCAACCTAATCAGTAAAATTAAGGTAGCATCGTAAATTGAGCATTCCTTTCACTTTAGCTACATACAAGAGCATTTCTGTGCTTTGATTATAAAAAATACACATCAGCACATGAGAAAAACTTATAACCTCAGGTGTCAAGTAGCAAATGCTGTCAGGATCTTAAAAAAAAAACAAACCAACAAACCACAAAAAGAACCTGAAAATATTAAGTAGCCATGAGCATCAGCTTGGTACTGTGGTATAGCGGATGCTACACAAAGGATATTGCAATTTTTAAGGGATGAGCGTTCCCCTCCATGTAGTATTCCAAACATTACAGCCAGCTCCTCTTTCAAGAACTGTAACATGGAATTTATTGTCCCTACACCTTTCCAGTTTGTAAAACCATAGCTTAGGTAACAATAACAACAATAAACCACAGCAGCAGGACTACTAAAACCACCCCATCTGATTCAGCACTGAAGGAGGCTGTAGCCAGCATTTCAGAGGCTTGACTGAAGGAAACGAAACCATTTTCAAGTCAAAGCTCTATGACATCTAAGGGTGGGACTGGTTCACTCTATTTCAGCTTCCTTCATCTGCCACTTCGAACAAGGTGCAATTCAGCTTCGCTTATAACTGAGGAAGTTCCTTTTAAAAGGTGTGACTGTAGAAAGCCCTGACTATCCTGACTTGTGTTTTATTACTGTTGGGTTTTGGATATAAAATTCTGAACTGTTAGAAAGCAAAAGACACTGAAAAACTCGTATCAGTCAAGCATGAACCTTAACAGGTTGCTTATGAACCTCTGCCCTTTCTGCAGAAAGGCTTCTTCCCAAGCTGGGAGGCATGAAATGTTCTCTAAATACAGCTTCTCCTCCTCTTCATCCATGAAGGCTACATGGCTTTCTTGCCATCTCTTGTATCTATACTTGAAACCGATATTTTTTTAATCTATATTTATTATCTATAGGGTAGAATTTGCTTTCCACATCCTTTGAAATCCATGCTGTCTGGGTTCACACCTCCACTGGCCACACAAATTCCTTCCCATGGATGGGGACACTAACCTGACCTGCTGCAGACACATGCCTCTAGACGAGCCGAACCGCTCTCTAGACCCACTGATTTCTCTGGAGGACACTGGGAAACCCACTCCAGTGAGATGTGACAATACAGATGACAAGAGAGAGATCAGTTCCATCCAGTGTCTTCAGAAGGATATAAAGGCCACTTAACCAAATAAAGTATTTTTAAAACACAACAGAAACACGCTTGAACTATGATCTGAGCTTTATAATTCTGAATTTTATATCCAGAGTTACAAATATCCAATAATATCAATATATGTATAGCCAATATTATAATTCAGAATTTATGTCCCAAACCAATGGTAATACAACAAAAGTCAAGATAGTCAGGAAGTGGGAAGCATCCGTATCCTTCTAAATCCCACCTTCCAAACAGATGACTCAGTTGAGTTACCTAAGCCGGCACTAAAAGCCCAAAAAACCAAATCCCTGACTCAGCCTTTTTTCCTGACTGCAAAACTCAAAGTACCAACTGCCAGCCAAATACCGAGTCAATACTACTGAACTTTAATCCAAACCTGCTGGAGTGCTGGAGCACTGTGGGCAGCAGGCCACCGCCCTGAGAAACAACAGAAATTGTGGACGCCGCAAGCAATCTGCACGTACAGCAATTTAGGACAATTACGAAATGAGATGCAGACAAGAGTAAGTTGTGCATGAGCAGCAGGTCCTGTGAATGATGGTTCTTACCGCTCTTTCCACTGAAGTCAATTCTCAAAGCTGACTTTCCATGACAGCATGTAAAATCTGGGACTGAAGTACTAAATTAAAAACCTGAGACCTGCTTCAGCAGTTATCTTTTTTGCAAAGATACTCCTCAAACTGACAAATGCATTGCAGGTACTAACTGATAAATTAAATCTCAGTCACACTACCATGCCACTTCAGAAATCAGATTTTTCCAAATACAGCATTCTTATGTTCAGCCATTTCACTATGGAAGTTGTGCTTGGCTCCAGGGCTCTTATCATTGGCAAGAAAACTGCTGTCAAGAACCAAAGAAAACAAACCGATTTAAGCATGCACTTTTTTCTAGGGCTTAAGCCTTTGCAGATAGCAATACACAAGACTACAAGTGAAATACTCGTTCAAAGTTTAGAAGCAATGCAAACAGCATAAATTCTGTTGATGGATACTTATATTTGTCTGCATTACGAGCCCGGAAGAGGAGAGTTTTAATAATTGCCCCTTGGCTACTACCACAACAGTCATGGCCTCTTTCTGGCACAGAACGCTATCAAGGAAGCTCAGAAGACTGCTCTGTACTTTTCAAGATATGCACTAAGCAAACGGCAGGAAGCAAACTACAGCTCAGGTTAAAGGAAGCCACCCAAACATGATCAACTTACCAGTGTTCTCCGGCATAGAAGCTTGATCAGTATTTCTCTCCTTCTTAAAAGAAATATTTCCAAATTGCAGCACTGAAGACACCACTTTCAGCATTGCTGTGTTAAAAGAAGACATATGCAACGGTTTAATTGAAGAGGGCTCAGCTTAACAAACTCTTCTTCTGGTACTTGTGTCACTTTCCTTCCAAATTCCAAGTTCAGAAAGGAAATAGTTTGTACTGTACTTTTTGGGCAAACGGCTTCAATTCAACTAATTTGCTCACGTTAAGCAAACATTTGCTACAGGCTGTCAAGACACTGAAGCAACATTAAATTTGGTGACATTAAATTAGCGAGTGTGTATGCATGTGCACAAGAGAAAGCAGCACACTAAAAATCCAAAAGGCTCAAGAACTTACATAAGATCTCGTCATGCGAAAATCCCATGATATGCATGGCCTCCATAGTCTCCTGAAAGTTATCCTTGTCTTGTTGCCCAGGAATGGGGATGTAGCCATTAGATAAAAATCTGTAATTGTTAAATCCTTCAAGCAGCAAGTCAGCTGTATTGGGGGGAAGAGGAAGAGACAGAAAAATAAGCTAGAGAAATGCTGTTCACACCCACCTATGCTGTTCTCACTAAATGTGCAAACTATGCTTTATGAAATCAGTTCCTCAAATATGGCTACAAGCCATTATACCAGCTTCTGAAACTCTACAAAATGAGTGTACCTTAACAGCTGAAGCCAGATTCCCAGAATCTCTATCTGTAGCAACCCACATTAGCTCTTTAAAGCATTAAGCCTGTGAACAGAACATTACCCGACTCAGATCCAGCCTAGTCGCAAATCCTTTTTCTAGGAATATCCTAGAAGAAGTATCTCCGCTGAAAGTAACAGACAGGCAGAAACGGAGGTTGGTATTGATGATAACCACATCAAGGATGCTAAACACAGGTTTATCTAACGCAGGAGG